CATGATTTTCCTGCTTAGGATAAAGATTCTTATGCTTTGTAAAATATAAACAAAGATTCATGATCAGCTTAGAATGTACTATTGGTGTGCCCCAAGAACATTTTTTAAAAGCATATTTTAAAGAAATCATTTTTAAAAAACCCATCAAAACAGATAAACATCATTTTACTTAAGATTCCTATTTTAGATGCAAATAACCCAGGTGCCAAAGGTGTAAAGGTTTTGGCTCTGTCTCTAGATACATCTTTTCATAAAATACAGGTGATGCCTGGGAGGAGCGGTCCGGGGTCGGGCACGAGGGGCATCTGGGGAGACGGCGGTGGGCCCAGGCGCCCCAGGAGTTTTTTGGTTCAAATCTCCCTTCTCTGACATCATTTCTTTTTGGATTTGAAAAAAAAATAAATAAATGGCATTTATAAATCATGAATCTTTGTTTATATTTTACAAAGCATAAGAATCTTTATCCTAAGCAGGAAAATCATGATGCTGAAAATTGGTTTATTTTCTTGGAACAGATAAAAGTTTTTACCTGACGCCACAGAAACAGTACATATAAATAAAAAGGCGGTGTTTCAGTGTAAAATAAAAGTACATAAATAAATACTTAAAAAAAAAATTAAAATCCTTGTTCTCTTATTTTGTATAAAAACATGTTTTTCAGAAAAGGCTCCTTTGGTCAGCTGGCATCTGGAGCGCTGCAAGCTCCCGCAGGGCTTGGGAAAGGAAGCTGGGGTCCCACGGGGCGGCGGCTGTTTACTTGAAGGCCTCCGGAATGTGGGCGATCTGGGGCTGCATGCTGGTGGGCGGGCTGGAGATGCCCTCGGACCAGTCGGAGATGTTGGAGTGTGGGGACGAGCTGGACCACTGGTCGGGGGACTCGGGGGATGGGGTGAGGAAGGGGTGCTCTGGCACCTGCAGCTGGTGGCTTGGGGTGTTGTCCACAGGCGAGGAGGAGTAGCTGTGCTGAGACGGCGGGGTCAGGAACTGGGCGGCGGTCACGGGCGGGACCAGGGAGGATGGCAGTGACGTTGGCAGGGCCTGGCCCTCCGGGGGCAGGACGGTGTGCACTGCCATGCTGCTGGGCCCTAGCGACTGCACGTCTGCCTGGCTCGGCTCCCCACCCAGGAAGCTCCGGCCCAGGGGGCCAGCACCAGATGAGCTCACACCCAGGTGCGGCTGCGGCGGCTGCAGGTTCTGCTGTGGCTGGATGCTCGGCGGCTGCAGGTTCTGCTGCGGCATCTGCAAGTTTTGCTGTGGCACCTGCTGGGTCTGCACCAGGTGAGGCTGGGTGGTCAGCCGCGTGCTGGGCAGGCCCTGGTAGCTCATCATCTGTGACAGGGTGTTGGCAGAGAGGCTGCCATGCAGTGGGCCCATCATGCCATGCTGGAGGGCAGGGGCCTGTGTGCTCAGCGTGCCGGGCACCACACTCCCTCGCAGTGGGTTGTACTGGTTTGGCACCATGCCATTCTGCAGCCGGGACAGCCACTCACACTGGCCGTTCAAGCTCGTGGCCCCGCCCGTGGTGAAATTTACAGCACCCCCGCTGCCGCTGCCACCAAGGACCGTGCTGGTGCTGGAAGCCACAGGAAGATGGGAGAGGCGTGGGGGGGCGGCCTCGAAGGTCAGCCGGCCACCCCCACCCAGCGCTGCCATCTCAGGCTTGGCTGCCACGTTCAGGTGGCTGAGGCCCAGGTGGGTGTCGGGCATGCCGGGCAGGTGGTTGAGAGGCATGGACGGAGACTGCTGGAATGGGGAAGGCAGGAGGGGCGGTGAGGCCACGTCCGACAAGTAGCCGTGGGGTGACTCAAGGGAGTCCACAGGCGACAGCATGCTTGAGCTGTCCAGCAGGCAACCCTTGCCGTCCTGGGACTTCTTCCTCCGCGCCTTGAGGTCCTTGGCCTCCTTTCCACCACAGGCCAGTCCTCTGGTGCTGGGCTTACGGGCCTTCTTGCCCTGCATGGCAGGCTTGAGGTTGCCCAGGTAGCCATTGGGGGAACAGAGTGGTGGCGACAGGGTGGGCGCGCCGCCCAGGGGGGCGCCATGCAGCTGGGGGCTGCGTACCAGGTTGTGCTCATCCAGCAGCCTCACGATGTCATGGTGCATGCGTTCCTGTGCAATGTCGCGTGGCAGGCGGTCCATGTGGTCCGTGATGTCACGGTTGGCAAAGTGATCCAGCAGTACCTTGGCGGTCTCGTAGCTGCCCTCCCGGGCGGCCAGAAATAAGGGCGTCTCCTCCTAGGGACCCAGGTGTGGGGCAGGTGAGGGGCCTGGGGACCTGCAGCTCACATGCCCCCAATGCTTTGTTGCCACAGAGAGCAGCAGCTCGACTCCCACCACCCCAACAGCTCATCTTGACCTGGCCCCGCATCCTACAAGTACCTGGCCTAAGTCTCCTGAAACCTACCTGAGGTGGTCTGCGAGATCCTCCATTCTAAAGCAATAGAACTTCACCTCTATGGGATCACAAACTCCACTGAAAATCTAATGAACTGCAAGCCCTCTTTCCTCCCTGCCAAAATGCACAGGCGCGATGTACTGCAGTGATTTCAAGGAGCTTGGGGATCCCTGAAGGGCACCCGGGGCACAGGGGAAGGAGTTCCCTGTCTGGATGGTCACTGAGCAGCCCAGGCACCTGAGCCTCGCCTGTGTAGTGGACACACCACGAGTCTCTGCAAGGCTGCTGTGTGGGGAGTGCAGAGGGTCTCTAAGGCCTCTGCGCCCTACAGGGGAAGGAGTTCCCTGTCTGGATGGTCACTGAGCAGCCCAGGCACCTGAGCCTCGCCTGTGTAGTGGACACGCCACGAGTCTCTGCAAGGCTGCTGTGTGGGGAGTGCAGAGGGTCTCTAAGGCCTCTGCGCCCTTCAGCCAGTCCTTCTGAGTCTCTGGGGCTCAGTGTCTCCCATAAGGGATAGGATCAAGCTGCCAGCCCTGCTGTGGACCTGGGTCCAGCAGCGCCCCCTGGTGCCCATTGCCTGCTGTGTCCGCTCACCCGGGAGGGGCAGCTGGAATGTGGGCTGGGGGCGTCTGTACTCTGACGCCCTGAGGAACCCAAGAGCAGGAGGGAGATCAGCAGCAAGCCTCAGGGGACACAGGGTGAGACAGGCAGTGCGGAGGACAGGACAGCCCAGCAAAGAGCCTCCTTAGCTTCATAGGATGGACGGGAGCCAAGTGAGACGAGGGGGCAGGTCCGCGTGGTGGAAGGGACTGCTCGTGTTTACACTCAGGGGCCTTACACTGTACCGGGTCACCCCCATACCAGCATTCTGGCTGTATCTGCACCACTCAGGTCACCGTGTCCCCTCCCACCTGGTGGCAGTGAGGCCACCTGAGGACTGGGTAACGGTGACACAGACAGGGCTAGAAGGCGTGCCCTGCTGCAACCACGGCCCAGGAGGGCCAGGGCAGGTGCATGGGGTCTGATGCAGAGACCCCCAGCCAGCCCCGGGCTTGGGTGGTTCAGTAAACACGGGCTGCGGAAGGAGAGTTGACTGTGCCAGGCGCCATCTGAGTGGTCTATGCAAACGTGCACAGGAATTCCCACCACGACCTCGTAGGTCAGGGGACCTCACCTGCCCAGCCCCAGCAGCCCCTGTGCCCCACACGGTCCTGGCCGCACCTTGTTGTTCTGCATGTCCTTGTTGGCCCCATTCTTCAGAAGCACGACTGCTGCGTCCACGTTGTTCACGGCGGCGGCCCAGTGCAGGGCTGACTTGCCTGTGTGGGGGAAGCAGACAGAGGTGGGTTGGGGCAGACCCGGCAGCAGCTGCCATGCCCAACCCCACAGGCTTGGCCACAGCCCAGCATACCCAGATCGTCCACGGCGTTGACATCGGCGTGTGAATTAATGAGGTCTTCCAGCATGCCCTCCACAGCCAGGCGGGCGGCCAGGATCAGCGGTGTCGTGCCGTCGTGCATGCGGGCGTCCAGGTCTGTGGCTCGGTTCCGGATCAGGATCTGGGAGGCCAGCAAGGGCTCAGGCAGGGGCACGGCGACCAGGAGCCCGATGCTCCTGGACCAGAACCAATGCCTGGACCAGGGTCCCCACTGCCTTCCCCGATGCAGATGCGGCCCCACCTGAGACTTGAACATCCCTGGCAAGATGGGACACCATGGAGCTGCACTCAATGCTACGAGGGGCCGGGCCAGAGGGCATGGGCTGTGTCATGCAAACAGACAGACCCTCGGAGACAGCAGGGCCCATTGTGACCATGTGTGGCATCACCCTTACCATGGTCTTGGCTGCTACAAACACTCCGAGAACAGAGGGTTCCAGTCCCTGCCCAGCCACAGGGACACAGCCAGCACATGCACCAGGCTCACAGCGCTACAGCCACACCAGAGCCGCTGAGCTGGGCTGTGTCCACCTAGGCCCCAGGAGAAGGGCAGATGGCCCTCAACTCCCACCCTAACCTTGTGTCACAGGCAGGAAGGGCGGTCACTGTCTGCTGGTAGGTGAAAAACCAGCAGTTAAGGGACCTGCAGTGCTAGCCCAATTCCCGCTAAGCACCCGGAAGTTGAGTCCACAGACGGAGCTGCACATGGGGGACCATCTTGATTTTCCCTTTCAGCTAATCTCAATTTCTTATTTCTGCAGGATGATGTGTCACTTGAATTAAGCAATCATTAAGATGAGAACTTCCTGATGACTATCCAGCATCTAAACCTGCTCCAGGGCTGCTTGAACCTGGTGACCGGCAGCAGGGGTGATTGTCTGGCGGCTTGCAGAAGGAGCCTCTGACAGGGATGTTCCCTGGAGACCCAGGCATCCAAATCCCTAAATCCACCCTTGCCACAGGCTCCCTGGCAAGGCCAGAGCCCAAGGTTTGCAGGCAGGAAGCGGCAGCCTCTAAAGCCTTCTTCTCACAGCCACAGGCAATGCCGGCGGCCATAGCTGGAAGGGAGGGGGAGCCTGCAAGAGGCTGCAACAAGAACTGGCCCTTGAGCAAAGCCTGGGACCCCAGACCAAAGCCTGTCTTGGGAGGGAGGGAGGCCTTGCCTCAGCCTGCAGTCCCCTCAAGCCTCCTGCTAGACCATCTCCAGCTTGGCTTTCCTGAGAGGACCCTCCCAGCTGGGCCTCTTTCAGAGAGCAAAGGTCTGGGGTGGGGACAGCAGCTGCCCCTGCCTATGATGCACTCGGGATCAGGGCTCCCAGGGCCCACATAAGCCCAGCCACTGTCCCAGACCAGGCTGGCAGCCCTGAGGGGGGCAGGTGGGCATGGGCTGCCGACAGGGCAGGGCAGTAGCACCTACCTGGAAGACGCCCTGTGCATCAGCTGACACGGCAGCATGCAGTGGGGTGCGTCCCATGTTATCCTGGATGTTGGCATCAGCGCTGGCCTCCAGCAGGCGCTTGGCGGCATCAGAGCGTGAGTAGCGGGCGGCCAGGTGCAAGGCCGTCTCGCCAGTGCGGTCTGTCTGGTTGTGCAGGCTGGCACCCTGGTAGATGAAGTCTGAGATGACAGCTGGCGCGTCCTCCTCCTCCTCGCTGTCACCCGTCTCCAGGCCCCCTCCGCTGCAGGAGGCTATCATGAGGGGTGTGAAGCCATCTGCATCAAGAGTGCAGACAGGGCAGGGGCTCAGTCCAGGAGGGCTGGCCCCAGCTGCGGTGTGGTTGAGGGTCAGCCACGTGCCTGGGGCTGCTGGAGTTGACCCAGGCTTCTCAGTGACTGAGCCCAAGTCCAGCTCGCGACCTGCAGCTCTGTCCCCCAACCTGCCCCAGACCCAGCTCTGAAAACCCACCCAATAAAAAGACAACACGAGAAACGTGCAGTTAGAAAGTTGACCCTTTGGATGTCTCCAAAAGATGCTTTTCAGGAGAAGAAATTAACTTAAAGGGCAGGGCAAGCCTGGAGAACTGCCCCGAGGAGCCAGCCCGTGAAAGGCAGAGTTGACTCAGGGACACCAAGTGGAGACACCCAAGGACACCAGCTCTCCTCCCAACTTTAGGCTTCCAGAATAGCGACCCCAGGGCTTAGGGACAGGAAGCAGGTGGACTGTGGCAGGGGAAGTGTAGGCTGTTGGCCTCCCATGGTCTCGGCTGCAGGGCCCCTGGCCACAGGGGCCCAGGTGGCTGGCAGCACCCTTACCAGGCCCACGGACGTTGACATCCATGCAGTCGGCATCCACCTCACCCTGGGGTGGCGTGGGGGCCATAGCAGACACGCGCAGGTCAGCGGCGTCCAGGTGCTGCTGGGTCCACTGCCGGTGGTCGGTCTGGTCATCCAGGTTGGGAAGCACCACTGGCTCCTCGAACTAAGTAAGGGGCGAGGAGCGGAAAGCCATGTCACGTGGGGCCAGGGGCACATGTCAGGAAGCCCAGGAACCCTGAGCCCACTGGACTCACCCGGAACTTCTTGGTCTCCAGATCCTCGTCCCCCCACTCATTCTGGTTGTCGTCCATGAGGGCGCCATCCGAGGTATTCTTCAGGGGCCTGGGGGCGAGGGTCCGGGAGCAAGGCTGAGTGGGATCCCCAGGAAATACCCCCAAACCCTGGCTTAAGCGGCCATCCAATGCCCCGCCCCCGGTTCAACACAGGAGGTGGGGCCTGGGGTCCCGACGAGGGATGCCCGGCCAGTCCTGCCTCCTCCAACTCCCCCTGCAGCGGGGCAGCGTCCACTCACTTGAGACCCACAGAGTCCTCGCCGAGGGGCTCTCGCCGCTTCTTCTTGCTGGCCTCCGACACCTTGAAGCCCTCGGGGAACCAGAGCTGGCCATGCTGCCGCCGGCGCTTGCGGGACAGCAGCACCCCGCAGCCCGCGAACAGCAGCAGCACGAGGGCGGCCGCGGCCACGTACATGAAGTGCAGCTGCGAGGGCCGCGGGGGCTCCACCGTCTCACCTGCGGGCACAGGGGCGGTGGACTGGCTCTGCGGCCGGCGCCTCCGCACCCGCTCCCCTCATCCCGCCCCCCGAAATAAGGTCATTTTCTACGCGATTAATCAGAATTGCAAACTATCGCTAAATTCTCTCCGCACCAGCCGGCTATCGGGAGACGGCTTTTACTTTTTCTCCTTTAAGGGAAAAGGATTAGCCAACTTCGAATCGCTGCTCTTGCACTGAGCTGTTAAGACAAAGGATTTAAGGGGATTTTCAAGATACAAACTTCAACACTTCACATGACACCGATCAATTCTTCTCTCTCTCTCTTTTTTTCTTTTAAAAAAAGCTGTAATGATTTTGAAATAATACCCAACAAAGAAAATCAGCGGGGAGAGCATGACAATATGCTGCTAACTGTTAGGGTTGTCCTGAGCTGGCTAGCCTGCCAGGGTCAGGGCACACCAAGGGCACAGCCAGCCTGGCTCAGGTAGCCCAGTTGCCCCAATCAAGTAGGACAAGGTGGGAGTATGGTGGTACCCCTTTGGACACAAGATGAAGGGGGCTGTGGGCCCAGCCCAGCCCAGCCAGTGCTCCTAGATTCCCCAGACGAGCCCTCGCTTCATGTGCCAGGTACCCTCTGCTGTGCCCTTCTGCTGTTGGGAATGCCCACCCCCCACCCATCAAGACTGGCCACAGCACCCCTCCCCAGGACCCCCCACCTGCCTCCTCTGTAGCCAGAACAAAGTGGACACAGTGACTGAACTTAGTTCTTGTCCAGGGAGGACTGGTCATCCCATGGCAGCCCTTGGAGGACCAGGTTTTAATCAGCTCAGTCCCCAGTGCCTGGCGCAGAGCAGAAGCTCAAAAACACCTACTGGACGAAGGAGGGAAGCCTGCTGGGCACCAGGGAAGGTGGTGGGGGAAGGCTGTGGCCATGGGGTCAAGGGCCCTGGGGAGATGCTGCCTCTACTCCTCACCCATGCAGGCCCTTAAGTCCCAGGTCCTCTCAAAATCTGTCTCTTTCACTATAAAAAGGGGAGAGTACTGCCTGCCCAGGGGGCCGCCATGAGGGTCAGACAGGGCGTGCAAGAGGACCAGGGTAGGTGCTGGGGAATTATCTCAGTTGCTGGCAGCAGGCTCCACTCACCCGCGGATGTCCATGGGGTCCAGCTCCCTGCGCCGGCGCCCACTCCCGCTTCTGGGGAGCAGCGAGGCCTTCACCTGGCTGAGCAGGGAGCCGGGCGTGGCCCAGCCCTCGGCAGCACGTCTGATGGGGTGCTTGCGCAGCTCCTCCTCACGGCCGTAGTAGGGGAAGATCATCTGCTGGCCCTGAGCATCGCGCTTGAAGACCACGTTGGTGTGCAGGACGCGGCTGAGCTCGCGCAGGAAGTGGTAGGAGTTGTTGCGCAGCTGCTCGGGTGGCATCAGCACCACCACCACCAGCGTGCCGGCCGCCAGCCGCTCCGGCACGTGCTCCGCGCAGTCCAGCCCATCCCACTCGCACTCAGCGCTGTTGCAGCCCTGGTCGCAGTGCCCATCGCTGAAGTGGTCCTTGCAGTACTGGTCGTACAGGGGGCTGCGGGTGCAGGGCACGCTCAGGCCATCTTCCATGCCGGGGGTCCTCCACGGGGGCCGTGCCCCTGCCCCAGGCCATCTGGCACCTCCATCCCACTAACTGACCACGGGAACACCCCTGCCCTTCCTGGGCCTGACCTGGGGAAACGTGTTGGCCAGCCCCCACGCGGGAGTCCTTGGCCAGTGTCTGGCCCCGTGCCACTCCCCACTCAAGTGCAGGCCCCTCCTCCGCCCCAGCTGCTGTGCCCACTCGCTTACTTGCACTGGCTCTCCATGCGCTGGCAATCAAAGCCGTCGAAGAGGCAGCCGGCTGTGTTGCACTGGCTGTCGCAGCGGCCGTCGCTGAAGTACTTCCAGCACTGCAGCGACTGCGTGCAGTTCTTCCAGGGATCGTTGAAGTTGAGGGAGCAGTCGCCACCATCCCAGCCGCACGCGTGGTTATTGCACTGCAGGCTGCAGACCTTGTTGCCCGCGTCCTCTCGGCACTCGGGCAGCTCGCAGGCCTCTTCGATCTGCGGTGGGGGGATGTCACGCCCAGCGCCGCCCCCAAAGCTGTAATCCAGGATGTGGCACAGGAGCCCGTTGAACTTGGCAGGGCACAGGCAGCGGTAGAAGGGGCTCTCAGACGTGGGCTCACAGCTGCCCTGGTTGTAGCAGGGGTTGCCACCCACGCAGGGGCTGCTGGTGGGGAACTGGCACTCGGGGCCTGTGAAGGAGCCCAGGCACAGGCAGGTGGGGCTGCGTGGGCCCGAGATGCACGTGCCGCCGTTGAGGCAGCGCAGGCTGCCGCAGGTGCGCGCGTCATTCTCGCACGTGGCACCCTCAAAGCCCTGCCAGGGAGGGAAAGGGGTGGGGAGTCAGGATGGGCTGGTTCCCCACATACCACATGCCCTGGCCTGGCACTGGCATGGGCACTGTGTACCCCCCACCTGGGAGAGGGGCGCAGCCTTTCCTCCAGCAGCAAAACCCTTTTAGAAAACGTTCTCTCAACAGTGAAAAGATCACGGGTCTCCAGGGGTTTGGGGGATGGAAGGAGGGGTGAGTAGGTGGGGCACCGGCTGTTTTTAGAGCAGTGACGCTATTCTGTGTGATACTGTGACAGTGGATACGTCAAGCCCATAGCACTACAGCACCAAGAATGAACGGCCAAGTAAAGGATGGGCCTGGGTTAGTAACAATATCGACATCAGTTCCCAAGTGTGACAAGCGCGCCACCCTAACGCAAGACCCAAGAGCAGGGAACAGCAGGCAGGTGGGGGGGGCGCACGTAGCAACTCCGTACTTTCTGTTCAACTTTCCTGAAAACCAGAATGTCCTAAAAATAAGTTCGCTAAAACTAAAGAAGTGTTCTCAGTGGGATGAGATGACAGAGGCCCAGAGGCTCAACCCCCAGCTGTGTGCCCACTGGCAGTGGGAGCGCACCCCCCAGCCCTTCAGACCCAGGGGCCCCTTGCAGCCTGTGGAGCTAAGCGGTGAGGCTGGCCCCCCGCCTCCTGCGGCAGCACCTACCGCTGGGCACTTGCAGATGAATCCACGGGCGGTGTTGGCTGCCACGGCGCAGGTGCCCCCGTTTCTGCAAGGCTTGCCCTTGCAGCCGTCGATGACTGACTCGCAGCGGCGCCCTGGGGCCAAGAGTGGGGCAGTGAGGGCTCGCCCCCGCACGCCCCCAGCCCCCAACCCAGCCTGGTCTGCAGCACCCACCGGTGTGGCCTGCACGGCACTCGCAGTGGAAGTCGTTGACGCGCTGCACACAGTTCTGGGTGCCGCGGGCATCGCAGGGATTGGACAGGCACTCGTTGACGTCCCCCTCACAGCGCTCACCCACGAAGCCGGCCGGGCAGGTACAGCTGTAGCCGCCTACCTGGTCCACACAGGTGCCGTTGTTAAAGCACTTGGGGCTCCGGGAGATGGGGTCGACCAGAGGGTTACAGTCGTCCAAGTTGATCTCGCAGTGCACACCTGCAGGGCCCGGGGGCCACGTCAGGGACTGGTGCTCAGCGCATCCAGCCCTGCTCCGTCCCGTGTGCGTCCTGGGCTAACGGGAAGTCAGAGCTGGAACATAGACGCTCAGGAAAGGCGGGATGCTGCCAATGCAGCTGGAGCCCCATGCCTCCTGCTGTGCGGGACACACTCTGTCCCTTCCCACCCTTGGCCACACAAGGCAAAGTGGAATTTCTGGCTTTGCCAGGATGCCTCTGGCTGGTCACAGGGTACCTGACTTGCAAGCTTTCCCCTAGCCATGGACACCTTGGACCCCAGACCTCTGTATGGTGTCCCTTACCCTGCGTGCCCCGGGGACAGGAACACTTGTAGGTGTTGACGAGGTCGATGCAGGTGCCCCCGTTCTGGCAGGGGTGGGACAGGCACTCATTAATCTCCTCGGAGCAGTTTGCCCCATGGTAACCAGCTACACACTGTGCAGGGAGACAGAATGGGGGGGGTTGCAGCTCAGCTGGGGCTGGGGCATGACACTCCCCCCACCCCACTGTGCAGGCTGACAGGGCGCAAGAGCTGTTTTGCCCAGCGAAGCTTTGGGTCCCTTGCACCTGGAAGACCAGGAGGAAGGCTACCGCCCAGCAGACCCTGAACAGGACTTCGATAAGCTTAGAGTCACTGCCCAGTTACTAGGGCATTAGACACCGTCACACAGGAGAGAGGTGAGGGTCTGAGGCAGGTGTCAGCTGAGCCCAGACACGACCCGGGGGAGGGGAAACCCCATCCCACTCCTCAGCATATTTTTCTTCCTGCAGGTTCCCTCCTCCACACTGCCTCCTCCAGGTAGTCTTCCCTAATTGCCCCAGCCCTCCCTCAGTGGGGCTGAACAAAGCACAGGTCTACTGGGTTCAGTCTTCTCTGCTGTACCAGCTCCCAGCCCAGACTCTTACGTACAGTGACGCTCATGCCAGACATACCCTCCCACCCCAAGACGGGCCCCCACCTTGCAGGAGTAGCCCCCCAGGTAGTCAGTGCAGGTGGCCCCGTTCTGGCAAGGGCTGGGCGAGCACTCGTCCACCAGGTCCTTGCAGTAGCTGCCCGTGTAACCCGCCTGACAGCGGCAATGGTGCGTGTTGCCTGTATTCACACAAAGCCCTCCATGCTGGCAGAGGTGGGTAACGTCGACACCTGCAGCGGACAGGGCGGGAGGGTGAGGCCCAGGCTCCCCTCCCCTGGGACCACCATGAGCTTGGACCATCCTGGCCTCAGAAAGCAAATGCCTGGTGAGTGCTGAGGAACCTGGGGCCTGGGCCAGGCGGGGCGGGTCCGGGGGACAGGCAGGGCACAGTTGCTACCTTGCCTCTGTGCAGCCACCTCACAGGAAACACTGGGCACGTCGCAGTAAAGGCCAGTCCAGCCACTGTGGCACTCGCAGCGGTACAGGGTGTTGGTCTGCCAGCACTTGCCACCGTTCTTGCAGGGCGAGGAGTCACACCAGCGCACGAGGTTCTGGGGACAGGCAGGGTGAGACAAGTTCTGCACCCCATCCGGCCAGCTCTCAAGAGGAACAGCTCTCTGGCCATCCCACCCGACGGCTCAGACACACATCTGCCAAAGAACCTCACATCCCAGGTGGGTTGTGACCCCATTCTGCAGAGGTGCAAACTGAGGCCCATGGTCCCTCCACCTGCCCCTCTTGGGCCAAGAGCAGCCTGGGGCTGGAGTCTCTCTCTAATTCTGTCTCTCTCAGAGGGCACTCGGCAAAACCAGACACCAGCTGCATTTCCTTAAAGAAATGTCTGTCTTCAAAAATAGATGCTTTTTTGAAGCTTTTTATAATTAAAGTTGTACGTGAAATCTTTTTTTTTTTAAAAAAGATGACCGGTAAGGGGATCTCAACCCTTGACTTGGTGTTGTCAGCACCACGCTCACCCAGTGAGCGAACCGGCCATCCCTATATGGGATCCGAACCCGGGGCCTTGGTGTTGTCAGCACCGCACTCTCCCGAGTGAGCCACGGGCCGGCCCCGTACGTGAAATCTTTGATGAAAATGAATGTTTGGTACTCTTGCCTGCTTTCTATGAAAGCACTGACTTTAACTACCTCCTTCCAAAATCGCCTGTCCTTGTCCTAGCTCTGCAAACCTGTTATTGGACTGGGAAGGTACCTCCCGTTTCCACAGCTCTGACTCCTTCAATGGTAACACAGCCCAAGGACTGGGCACCAGCTGGCAATTCGGATCTTCAGGAGCCAGTTGACCAGGGCAAGCCCCCCTGCCCTCTGAGCCAGCTTTCCTCCCCCTTAACCCAGGGGTGCGGTGAGGTGACCCCGAGCTGATGTTGGATCCACTACAGACTGGTGCCCTTCCTCATCCACCTCCTGCCCGGGCACCTCTTCGGTCCACCCACTCACCTGGCAGTTGAGACCGGTGTAGCCCTGGGGGCAGGTGCACTTGTAGGTGCCATAGCTGTCCTGGCAGGTGCCACCATGCAAACAAGGCTGTGAGTCGCACTCGTTGACGTCGTGCTGGCAGTAGCTGCCCGTGAAGCCGGGTGGACATAGGCAGGTGAAGGAGTTGATGCCGTCCACGCAGGTGCCACCATTGAAGCAGGAGCTGGAGGCAGCAGACAGCAGGGGAGAGGTGAGCAGGGCGCAGGCAGGTCCCTGTCCGAGCAGGCACCCCCATACCAGCATCTCCCCTTCGACTCAGGCCAAATGGGCCTGATGGCCAGGACAGGAGAGAGCAGCTGGCTGACCTCGGGGAGGCCAGTGGGAGCCCAGGGGCCTCAGACTCTCACACCACGTCACATCTCCCTCTTCTACCTTTTTATACCTCATGCCGAGGGAGGCTTTACAACACACATGCAGTTAAAGTCAAAACGAGGGAGAAACCAGAACCTGCACAGATAATGTGGGAGATACCACGTCAGCAACCAGGGATTGGATCGACATTTAACACTGAGCTTCCAGGCAACCAAGGCAAAAAGAGAAACAAGATGGTTACAAAGCTCTCCTGCCTAACAGAAGGCGTACTTATCCCAGAAGGATAAACTACTGGGATTCCTGGTTCTAAGTCACAGGAGAAGATCACAATGGCCCTTTTAGGAGGGATGCTGTAATACAATGGACAACGTCTGGACTCAACTAGCACTGAGTGCCCACTGGGCATGGACAGACACCCGCTTGGTGTGCCAGGTTGCCAGGTACTGTGTGTGGCCTTCACGGCCTGTTCCCCTCCCCTGAGGCCAGGACCGGCCACAGCACCTCCTGAGCCCTGTGGTCTGGGACCGCCCCAAGCAGCATCCTGCCATGTGCCGAGGCCCCTGCGCACCTCTCTGTGCAGTCGGGCGTATTGTTCTCGCAGTGGATCCCACTGAAGCCGGTGGGGCAGGTGCACGTGTAGCTGTTCACGCAGTCGGTGCAGTTGGCGCCGTTGCGGCAGGGGCTGCTGGCACACTCGTTGATGTCCTCCTCGCAGAAGGCACCCTGGAAGCCAGGCAGGCAGTCGCAGGAGGCCGTGTTGATGCCGTCTGTGCAGGAGCCACCGTTGTGACACGGGTCTGGGAGGGGACAGGAGGGCAGACTGAGGGGTGTGCACTCAACCACGCTGCTCTAGGAGGGGATGAGGCTGGGGGAGGTCACACAGCACTGCCAGGGCTTGCTGCGAACCTCGCTGGTGACAAGGGTGTTTGGGGAGCCCCTCGGCCCCAGCTGCCTCACAGCCTTCTCTCCTGTTGGGGGTCTGCACTCCCCATGTGTTCCTGTCCTCAGGCAGGGGACAATTCTGCAGCTCAACAGACCAAACAAAGGCTGAATGACAGTCCTTGCCCCACCCTCTGAGTGATGCCAGGCAAGACGCTCAGATTCTGCAAATCTCAGCTGTCTGGGAACCAGGGCTGGAGGCCTGCGGCTCAGCGGTGCCTGATGAGAGCTGAGTGGGAGAGTCAGGGTGGAGTGCACCTCACGGAGGGGTGGAGGTGCTCTGCCACACAACACCCAGCTGGAAGGCACCAAGAGGGCCTCAAAGCTGGGCAGCCTGGCTCTGGAGCCTTCTGGTACTGCCTTGGCCAGCCCATGCAGACTACAGTGGTGCATTATAAGTGGCAGCCGCCCCCCAGCATGTCCCCAGCATGTAACCTGGACCTGGGCTCCCTCCCAGGCCATACTCAGGTAGACCAAGCTAAGGGCTCGGCCTCTGGGCGCCGGCATCCACGCCACCTGCACCAAGCCTGCCCCATGCTGCCCAGGGAATGGGGGCAGCTGGGCCACTCACTAGGCCGGCAGTCATCGATGTCGGTCTCACAGGTGCGCCCCGTGTAGCCTGCCTGGCAGTGGCAGCGGTAGCTCCCGTCGGTGTTCTGGCAGGACGCGCCATTGCCGCATGGGCTCTTCACACACTCATTGATGTCGATCTCGCAGGTCTGCCCTGCGGGGAGGGGGAGGCCCGTCAGCCACCCAGCCGCCACCGTCCAGGCTGGACTGTCCTCCTGCAATGCCCTTCCCTGACCCCTCAGGACTGGGCCTCCTAGGCTTCAGCACCCACTGCTGTCCCCCAGTTCTGGGCCAAGGAGTGAGAGGGTTCCTCCAAGGCCAGTCCCTGACTCTACAGCGTCCCTGATAAGCAGTTCCTCTGTACCTGCTTGCTCGTCTCCTGTCCAGGGGCTGCCCGCTGCCCCCCGGGCCCCAGCCTGCCCTGTCCCAGTGCCACCTCACCTTGCCAGCCCATGGGGCAGACGCAGGAGAAGCTCTCATAGTCCTCAGACTCCCTGCACTCCCCGCTGTTTCTGCAGGGGCTGGAGGCACACGGGGCCAGCACCACCTCACATATGGCTCCTGTGGGGGAAGAGACACTCGTGGGACCCAGGGAGCTGTGACCCTGAGTCACCTCCCAGATGAAGGCTGCCTCAGCCACTGCCTGCTAGTCTTCCCACAGCTAGACCCCCTTCGCTGGTCCTGTGGGGAGGCAGATGTGCACTGGTACCCTGTGTGAGGTCCTGGCTGAGTCGGGACCCTGAACCAGGGGAGACATGAGCACAGAACAGAACGGGGCACCACAGCCAAGCCAGACAAATGCCTCGCTTGGAAACTGCCCCTCACTCCCCCTCAGACTGCTGGGCCCAGCCCGGGCCTCACCCTGCGCTGACAGGTGACCCCAGCCAGTGGGCTCCCCGACATGGCAGGGACCCTGGGCCTGCTCCCCACCCACGCCCCCTCTTCATTTCCAGGTGACGAGGAAAAGCCCCAGACTGAACCCGAGGACTGGAACTAATCCTGGGTCCCAGACAGCTAGAGTGCATCACAGGCAGCCATTGAATAAAGGCTGTAAGACAGGGGGACAGGCCTGGCACCCTCCACGCTGGCAGCACTCGGCCCTGAGTATTCCTGCTTGTCAGGGAGCACCTGGCACAGCCCTAGGATCTGTGGAATGAAGCAGGGAGCCTGGCAAACCACTGGGGGGGAGCCATGGGCGCACTGGGGTGATTTTTCTCCCTGCAACCCCCATGGCCGGTTTTCCTGTTTACAGCCAAGGAGGCCGGACTCCCGCGGAAGCGAGGGAGCGCATTATCTTCCCTGTCCCCCGTTATCTCCCCAGCCCGCTGGTGTGACTTTCCAGGGCCTTTCTTTCTATCGGTTTCCACGGTGACCAGAGCAGGCAGGAACTTCGCCAGAGTTTCCGACAATTGTGTGAGGGGCAGGAAGCGGGCAGGCGGGAAGCGTCAGCACAGGCCGCCGGCCCGGAGGGAGCACCCTCAACTGCCGACAGTGGAGAGAAAAGCCAGGTCCCTAACTCTGGTCAAAGAAAACACTGCTGTGGCCAGGGCTGCCAGCCGTCACAGAATGCAGCACAGGCCACCCCTGGCCGTGCAGCCAGGCAGGCCCCAGAGCACTCGCACCACTCCTGGGACAGTCTGTGGCCCAGGTGGCCGAGGCTTTTGTGCAGCACTCTGCAAACTCCTCCAGAGGGGACTGCTTCACGCGATCCCTTGGCCAGGCCGGCAGCAAGGGCTGGGATGTTCGGGGAAACGACTCCGACTCTGCTCAGTCGAACAGAGGACTGCTTGTTCCCCTCACACAAAGAAGCCGCCATCAAAGGAACCCCTTGGGCCTGGCAGCGTGGGGGAGGCAGCAGCCCCCAGAGGCCCCTGGCAGAGCGGTGGCTGGAGATGTGGGGCCCGACAGCACAGGCCCGGCTCCCGGCTCTGTCCGCCAAGGGCTCCACCTCGCCTCCTGGACGTACTTATACCGAAGCGCTCTTTGAGGCGTCCTGCACCTTTGCTAATCCCGCAGCCCTCCCCTGAGGGTGAGGCCATGTGCAGTGGAGGCCTAAGGCTCTCGGCAAGAACAGAAGCTTCTGCACTGCCTGTTGTGCAACAGACACGCAAGCCCAGCCCCCAGAGAGTCACCACCACTCAGTGGCTGCACCTCCGCCGCCCACCCTCACCTGTGTAGGGCAGTGGGCAGTTGCACTTGTACCCGGCCACGTCGTCGATGCACGTGCCCTGGTTCAAACACGGGTTGGACGCGCACTCGTTGATGTTGGTCTGGCAGTTGGGGCCTGGAGAAAGAAGGACAGCAGTCTGCATGGCAGCCACCCCAGGCACCACCGGCAGGGCCCCACCGCTGGCGCCTGGGCCTGTTCCCCACCCTGGCCTCCTGGAGGTAAGGAACAGCTGTGGCCTGAGCCAGAGGCCGGCGGCTAACACTAGCAGCTCTTCGTCACAAGCACCAGTGCACGTCGTGGGAGGGAGATGCTGTGGATCGCGCTGGCTGGGATCTACGTCCCTGGGCCTCAAGCTGCCCCTACTCAGGGGACCAGCTCTGTGCTGAGTCCTGCCCCAGCCACTCACCACTGAAGCCTTCCCGGCAGGTGCACACGTAGCCACTGGTCATGTCCTTACAGGTGCCACCATTGACACACGGGTTGGACTCACACTCATTGTTGTTGATGTCACAGTTTGTGCCACTCCATCCAGAGTCACAGTCACACTTGTACCTGGAATGGTGACCACACTGCAGGTCAGCGGTTGGTGAGCTGCGTGCCTAGGTTCTGCACATTTCTGGCTGTGCCACTGTCCCATGGTCTGACAGCATGGAGGTGCCTGTCCCCTGGGACCCCCAGAGTCCTTTAAAGTGGGGGAAACAGCTCCATGCCTGCCCAAGACTATGGCAAGGGTTTGGTTATGTTAGATTTGGGACAGTGCCCCGGGCACGGCGGGTAGTGGAGTGTTCCTGACGTGGGCCCAGACCGAGAGGCTCTCCACTCACTCGCTGTGGGACCCGGGACCCCAAACCATGCCCTTACCCTCTCTGTGCAAAATGAGGGCAAGGGGGTCCCCGCTGATGTCAATGGCCCCATCCAGGCAGAGTGCCCGGCATGTTGGGAGTGTCACAAACACTCACCGCTGCTGCTGCACAACATGTTTCTGGGGTCGCTTAAGGCCTGTGTCCTGTGCCAACATCGTGGCCCACAGGGACATACAGCCCAGGCCCGCTGGGCATAGACCAGGGGCTGACCGCAGGCCTGGACAGCCCACATCAGGGCACGACGGTAGCTCTGTCCTCGAGGGAACACCATCCCCGGCCTGAGTGTGCCTCCCTGTCCTGCTCTCCTGGGGGCAGAACTGCGGGGTGGAGGTGCCCGAGAGCTGGCCCCTGGCCCATACCCGTTGAGGCTGTCACGGCAGGCCCCGTGGATGCAGGGGTCGCTGTTGCACTCGTTGACCTCGGACAGGCACGTGGGGTCATGGTAGCCCTCGGGGCAGCGGCAGGTGAAGCCGTTGATGCCGTCCTCACAGGTGCCCCCGTTGTGGCAGGGGTTGCCCGCACACTCATCAATGTCGATGCTGCACATGCTACCTGTGGGCGGGGGCGCTCAGACACTGGGGCCCACTCCTCAAGGGGCCCAGGGTCTTGAGTAGGCAGGTTCTGACCCATCTGAGCCTCAGTTTCCCTTTCTGTTAAACAAGACAATAATCCTTCTCCCTGGGGCCTTACCAAGGCATCGTAACTGCCTTAAGGCCGAGAGGCTGAGGGGTTTGCTCAAGGGCAGATATCAGTGGCGGCTGCAAAATGGACATCCTGGAGCCTGGCCACAGTGCACTCATCACTCCCTCATGGCCTGCCAGGCCACCCCGCTCAACACAGTCAGGCCGGCGGTGACCAGGGATGTGGGGCATGGGGCGCCCATCCCGGCCATTTGATAGCTGGGCCCTGTGCAGCAGCCTCGCCATCCTGGCCCTTGGGCCCCGGACAGTCCCAAAGTCCTCCCAAACCTGGCTCGTTGGGGACCTGGGGCTACTGCTGACTTTGACCTCTGAGAACAGCCTGTCTTTCCTGGCCCTTGGGAGCCACTCACCCGTGTAGCCAGGCTCGCACACGCACTCATAGCCGTCGATCTTGTCCAGGCAGGTGCCTGCATCACAGGGGTTGCTGGTACAGTCATCTAGGTTGATCTCACAGTTGGGTCCTGGGGTCGGGGCGTGCAGCAGTCAGCGTCTGAGCCCGGCCCACTCCCCACCCCCAACCTCCCACCAGACGCCCCCTAGGCACCTGTGGTCCCCTTCAGGCAGAAGCAGATGTAGGCGTTGTCACGGTCCTGGCAGGTGCCCCCGTGGCGGCAGGGCTGGCTGTAGCACTCATTGACGTTGGTCTCGCAGTGGTGGCCTGTGTAGCCCGGCCGGCAGAGGCAGGTGAAGGCGGCGACACCGTCCTTGCAGGAGCCGTAATGACAGGGGTCAGGGTCACACTCATCAATGTCCACCTCGCAGTGGGTCCCTGTGTAGCCTGGAGCACAGGAAGGGCGGGCACAGGAGGGCTCAGGGCCCACTACCCCTGAACTGGAAACCTCTAGCCAGGCCCAGGGTGATCAGAGATGAGCCCTGCTCTCGGCCCCCAGAATGGACGGCCTCAGAACGAGGCATCCCCCCCATCTCCTGTCACCTTCATGCCCAACTGCCCCCTCCCTCCACGCAGGCCTGGCGGTCAGGCAGCCGCCCCGCACCTTCTGTGCACACGCAGGTGTAGGTGTTGGGCCCGTCCAGGCACTTGGCGCCATTCCGGCAGGGTGTGCTGGCGCACTCGTCCACATCGTGCTGACACAGGTGCCCCGTAAAGCCTGTGGCCGGGGTGAGGCCAGGGAGGGGCAGTGTCACACGGCATCAGACACCCCTGAGCCAGATCTCTCCCTGCCCCGATCCACGCCCCTCGTCACGCACTGCCTGAGCCGCATCCCTCGCCTGGATGGAAGGGGACTATTTCCCAAACTGACTCCCAGTTGCTATGGCTACAGCCTTGTTGGGCTGGACATGGGGCGCCCGTTGCTCGCCAGAGTCTGGGAATGGCTGATTTACATCTCACGAGGCCTTGGCCCTGCCCAGGGACAGACAGAGACACTGCTTCACTCGGGCCCCCCACAGGTCCCCCGAGCCCTCCTGGGCCACCCCGTCCACTGTAGGCCAGCTGTGCACACCCAGCAAGGTGGGGGCCCGGCGCAGCCCTGCCCTCTGCAAGATGCCTGGAAATGTCCCCATCCACGCACGAGGTGACATCCTGGCTCTCCCGGCACCCCTCAGGGAAAGTGGGACGGCACGGGCAGCACCAGGCCCAGGCCCGGGAGCAGACCACCCCACACGGGGCTCCTGGCCCACCACTGCCCGAGGGGAAGGCAGCCAGGCAGGAGCTGGGGTCCTCACCCGTGGGACACTGGCATAGGAACTCATTGATCTTGTCCAGGCAGTGGCCGCCGTGGAGGCAGGGGCTGCTGGCGCACTCATCTGTGTTCACCTCGCAGTACACGCCCTCGTAGCCTGTGGGGGGGGTGGGATGGTGAGGGGCACGCACCGCCTTGGTGGCTCCACTACAGCCCCACTGAACAGTCTCTGGGCAGAGCCAGGGACCCGGGACAGAAATGACACAGCTCCAGCCCCGTATCCCGGTCGTGGTGCCCTCTCCATTCCTGTCCTGCAGCTGCCTGCTCCATGCTGACCCATCTACCTGGCTCTGGCCCCATTCTCTGCTGTGCCTGGCCTCAGTTTCTTCAGTGCCCCATAGAGTGCACGGCCTGTGTAGGCATGGAGGCCGGGGAGGGGACACAGCCAGCCTGTACCTAGGGTCTGCCCCTCTGAGGCAGGCCAGCTTCCACTCAGCTTCCCCACTCCCCACTCCCCGGCGGTGCCTGCCCACATGGGGCAGGGGCTGTGGGATGTACCAGGCATGCAGATGCACTGGAACTCCCCGATCTGGTCCAGGCAGGTGGCATCATTCTGGCATGGGTTCGAGATGCACTCGTTGACATCAATCTCACATCGGGGGCCCGTGTAGCCCTGCAGACACTGGCACTCAAAGGAGCCCAGTGTGTTGATGCACTTGCCCGCGTGCTCACAGGGGTTGGCACCTAGCGGGGGAACAGGGGCTGCTGGCGCACTCATCTGTGTTCACCTCGCAGTACACGCCCTCGTAGCCTGTGGGGGAGGTGGGATGGTGAGGGGCACGCACCGCCTTGGTGGCTCCACTACAGCCCCACTGAACAGTCTCTGGGCACAGCCAGGGACCCGGGACAGAAATGACACAGCTCCAGCCCCGTATCCCGGTCGTGGTGCCCTCTCCATTCCTGTCCTGCAGCTGCCTGCTCCATGCTGACCCATCTACCTGGCTCTGGCCCCATTCTCTGCTGTGCCTGGCCTCAGTTTCTTCAGTGCCCCATAGAGTGCACGGCCTGTGTAGGCATGGAGGCCGGGGAGGGGACACAGCCAGCCTGTACCTAGGGTCTGCCCCTCTGAGGCAGGCCAGCTTCCACTCAGCTTCCCCACTCCCCACTCCCCGGCGGTGCCTGCCCACATGGGGCAGGGGCTGTGGGATGTACCAGGCATGCAGATGCACTGGAACTCCCCGATCTGGTCCAGGCAGGTGGCATCATTCTGGCATGGGTTCGAGATGCACTCGTTGACATCAATCTCACATCGGGGGCCCGTGTAGCCCTGCAGACACTGGCACTCAAAGGAGCCCAGTGTGTTGATGCACTTGCCCGCGTGCTCACAGGGGTTGGCACCTAGCGGGGGATGCACAGGTGAGGGGCTGCCCCAGGCACCCCGCCCAGCATCCTCCAGGGCCAGTCCTGTCCCCCACCCGCCTGGGCACCCTCCAGAGCCAGAGCCCGTTCCCAACAGATGGGGGCCACTCCTTAGCTTCCCCCACCTCGCCTGTACCCACCCAGTGCACACTCGTCCACATCCTGGCTGCAGGCTGGCCCTGTGTACCCCGAGGGGCAGGTGCAGATGGCTTTGCCATTGACAGGGTTGGTGTCACAGTTGGAACCCTCTTTGCAGGGGTTGCTGATGCAGGCGTCATCGAGGTGGCACAGCAGACCTGGGTGGGGCAGTGGCAGTCAGCTCGGCAATGGCGGGCTACCCACAGCTGGGATCCATTTCCCACCTGACACCCGGGAGGAGCCTGCCACCCCAACCCTATTGAGCGCACCACAAGATGCAGGTTATTCTGGGAGCTCTACCACCAGCAGGCCTTCCCCTGCCCCTCATCCATCCAGGAAGTCTCCGTCCTGGGTATCCCTGGAGGCACCGAGGAGTCATGGTCTGTGTGTGAGGTTGTGACTGCTCTGCTCACATGGGCCCCACCTGCGCCCACCCTTGGGGATGCTTGGTCACGGGCAGCGAGAACCCAGAGGCTGCCTCTCCGCCTGGGACCCCTGGGATGTGGGGTGCTCACCCGTGCGCCCGTGGGGGCACTCGCAGTAGAAGGAGGCCACACGGTCGTGGCAGGTGGCACCGTGGAAGCAGGCGGCACTAGCACAGTCGTCGATGTTCTCGCTGCAGTCCTCGCCGGTCCAGCCGTTGACACACACGCAGTTGTAGCCACCGTGGGTATTGTGGCAGGGCCCCCGTGGAAGCAGGCGGCACTAGCACAGTCGTCGATGTTCTCGCTGCAGTCCTCGCCGGTCCAGCCGTTGACACACACGCAGTTGTAGCCACCGTGGGTATTGTGGCAGGTCCCGCCGTTCTGGCAGGCGTTGGGCATGAGCTGGCACTCATCCACATCCTCTGTGCAGTACTGACCTGTGAGCAAGTGGGAACTGTCAACCCGGAGGCTGCCACATGCTGAGCTCCTTGCCACTGCAGTGCAGGGCTGCAGGGCCACTTCCTCCAGGTGGTCTTCCTGGTGACTCCTCCACCCACAGCTTGCCCCAATCCCTCCTTCCTCTGCACCCCCGGCACCCAAGGGGGCTCTCGGCTAGGCTCGCTGTCCTGTGGACACAGCTGCATCGGGGTCCACCCTCACCTGCCCTCCCCACCATTCAGCAAACCCCAAGGGCAGCACCTGTATCCACCCTGCCCAGTGAGCTCGGCCTGAAAGGTGCATGGGGCTGCCAGCCGCCCACGCAGATCAGCTGCCACATGGTGGGGCTGACCCCCGATGAGACTGCCCCATGCTCCTCAGCTCTCCCAAGCCTGGCCTGCCGCAGGGTCTCGTGCTGTGCCCCCCATCCCCTCGACCCCACCCCATGTGTGGCTCGGTGAGTAGCAGCTGCCCCACCAGGCCGCGGCCCCACGTACACACCCGTCCACTCCGGTGGGCAGCGGCAGTTGTACGTGTTCACGCCGTCCACGCAGTCGCCCCCATTCCTGCAGCTGTTTCCTGGGCAGTCATCGATATTTTCCTCGCAGTTCTGGCCAGTAAAGCCTGCAGCAGGAGGAACCAGGGTCAGCTTATTCCCCCCGGGCCAGGCAAGAGTGCCGAGATGCGCCACCAAACCCTGGGATGCCCACACACTGGGGGTCCTTGGTCCATGCCCCATCCCCTCCCCACGCCTGTGACCAAGCCACACTCCACTGCCCGCAGGTGACACACTCCTCTCTAAAAATCATTTTGTAAAGGCCAGCTGAACAAACAGGGACTTAAGAACTCAGGGTTCTGGAAGGTTCTGTTGCTAAAGCCTCCCATCTAAGAGTTCCCCACGGCTCCTATATATAAATGGGCACTGGCTACATGCGGAGGCTCTCTACAGCACCCCAATGGGGCAGTCCCAGATACCCCATTTTGCAGGGGCTGGTGCAGGGGCGTGGAGGCCCCCGAGCCGGAACTGAAGGAGAGGGGCCCAGATGGCCAGGATGTGTTGGGCTCTTCCCCAGCAGCCTGGGGAGGATGCAAAGACATGGCCCTCGGCTTCCCAGGAGCAGAGCTTCAGTGCCCACCTCCTCCCACACAGGCTGAGCAGCCCCCTGAGCCTCAGCCACCTCTGTGGCATGGCCCCCACCATGCGGCCTCCAGAGCAGCCAGTTAGCTATTAATCCGCTCAACTCCCACCGGTTCAATGACCAACCCAGAAAGGCGTGCCTGGCAATAGCCAAACCTGCAGCCAGTTACTAATTAACACCCCTCCCAGGATTCCTTTGAACTCCTCCTGCCCTTGGAGAACCCACCTGTTTACCCCTCCCTGGGAGACACCCCCACCCCCAGCTGCTCTGGAGCAGAAGTGGAAGCCAGGAACAGCCAAGATCCAAATGGGACAAAGGTTTGGGGAGAGCACCCCAAATTGGAGCCTGAGCTGAGTCCTGGTTCCTACATACAGCATGGGGAAACCTGAGAACTACACACTTCCCTGCACCGCAGAGGATCTCGCTCTATAGTGGGATGGGGGTCCTGGGCTGTCCTGGGGTGCAGTGTTGAAGGACAGTGCTTGCATAGAAAGCCAGCGAGCGAATGTCCCAGGTGGGACTGGCTGGCCCCCCACCCCGTGTCCTCCCTGTCACGTGGGGCAAGGAGAAGCTGGCGGGTGCAGCAAGGATGGGCGGAGACGCTGTGACTCCCGATCCCAGCCAGCTCCTGAGAGCAGCCAGGGTCTTGCAGAGCTTGGGGCTTCTGTCCTGACCTCGGGTCCCTGTGACTTGGCAAGTGGGACTCTCTGGGGGTCCCTGATCACCCACAGAGGGCTACAGGACCCTCTGGGGGACCTTGGTGCTGGGACCACCTGGCAGCACGTGAATGGCAGGGCTGGGTGAGCCCCAGTCCTGTCACTTTATGAGGATCACTGGGTGTTCACCACTTTCAACTGACCCCTACCCTGAAATGGCCAGACCCCACGCCGGTAGTGAACGTCTCCCTCATCAGAGTGACCAGCCCCTGGCAGACTGGTCTGAGCCTCAACCGCTCCCGATGAGTGCACCCCACTAACCCTTCCCACCCTCCCCATTACCTCCCAGCACCCCAGCTGCTCTGTGCCCTGACAACTGCTCCGGGCAGGCCTGGGACACACAGCACCTCAGCCTGTGGCCTCACTGAGAGGTCCTGACCCCACCCTGCTGACGGTAGGTGGGCACCAGCCCCACGCACAGGTGTCTTCTGACAAGGCCACTCACACCCTGACTCCCTGGCCCACACTGCAGTCACATAAGGGCACAGCCCCTCAACTGGGCTGCTGGACATGAGGTCCCAGGCCCGAGGTCACATGGCCACCAAGGAAGCACACGAACCCAGAGACTGGGGCTTGCCAAGTACAAGGGCTCTGCCCCCAGACTCCCAGAGAGCTAAGCTAGCAAGAGAGGGGAGCCACCTGCCACCACCCCAAGCTCACCCAGTGCCTTGCAGGAAATGTATGTGCTGGGCGTCTGCACGCATAGGCGTGGGGGTGGGGCAGCTTCCCCTTTGCAAGGGCCAGGGCGGCCCTCAAGTCACCCCCGGGTCAGCCGGGGCCCTGTGCACACCCCAGCATCCACCCCACTCCCAACTGAACTGTCCCCTCCCCCTTCCCACCTCACCACCATGGGTGCAAGAGACAGACTAGAGATTTTCAAACCTCTCCGTTATCATTTTTAGAGCTGCAAGGAAATTTACTCATGCAAGTGCTACAGCAGAACAGCTGGTATGTACAACAGGGGCAGTGGGGCCACTGGGGGTTGGGAGGCTGTGCCTGCCTGTCACCCCTCCCCCACGCCCACGGGAGAGGAGCAGGCCAGCCGGAAGGGCCACTGCTTGGGGAAGTGACGGTGCAGCCGTGGCCCACCCACCCTGCCCTCCTCCCCTGCTCCCAGCCACCCCAGAGACAAGGGGAAGCCCCAGGGGTTGCACAAGCCAGGGGGCTCACTGCAGAGTGGGGAGTTCTGTGCCTCACATGTGGGTTCCAGGAAACACAAAAGATGAGGGGGCGGACTGTGCCGTCTCCAGAGGCAGACTAGTGCCACCGCCCCAGGAAGCCCCAGGCAGGACAAGGTTGTTGGGCACATCAGCTGGACTGCCCCAGGCTGGCCTCCCCATGGAGGGCCGGCAGCAGGAAGGAGCATGGGGTCATGGGCCCAGCTGTCCAGACGACAGCAGACCGCACTCCCGGGCAGAAATGGGCCTGGTGGGGAGCACGGGGTGAGCAGTGCTGCTGGGGGATGTGAAGGGTGGGTGGGTAAACTGCCTGGCTTCTGGCCCGGCACTCAGGCCCTGTGCAGGCTTCCTCCTGACAGGCAATTCCACTGCAGACCATACCCACAGCTGCTCCTCTGCCCCCTGCTCCATGGACCTTGCCAACCTGCCTGCTGGCCCCCCACTGCCAGCCCTTCCTGGGCTCCCCCCACAAGCCCAGGCTCCCTGCACTCTGGGCACCCCCATTCCCATGCCTGGGGTCTGATGGGGGGAGGAGCTTGCACAGGTGCGTGCAAGGAGCAGGAGGTCAGCGTGGCTGGGCAGCACCTACCTGGCAGACAGGCACACTCATGGGTGGTGTCCCCTGTGGGGCGGCAGGTGCCCCCATTCTGGCAGGGTGAGGGGCTGCAGGGCACATAGGGCAGCTCACAGTGGGGGCCAGTGTGGGTGGCACGGCAGGTGCAGCGGTAAGAGCCGACCTCGTTGTGGCAGGTGCCCCCGTGGCGGCAGAGCCCCGGGTTCTGGCTGCACTCGTTGACATCCTGCCTGCAGGTGGGGCCGTGGAAGCCGGCTGGGCAGTGGCAGATGTACGAGGCCTCGAAGGGCAGGCACTGGCCGCCGTTGGCACAGGGGTTGGAGGCACATGCATCAGCTTGCTGGCACGACTTTCCTGGTGGGCAATGGAGGCGAGAGGGTCAAGCTGGGCTTCTGGCAGTCAGGGCCTCCCCCGGGGTCCAGGGGCAGCTCCCCATATCATGGAGCTGCCAGCCTGGGACTAACCTAGGGCACTGTCTTGTAGAATCCTCAGGACCCACCACAAAGCATGGCCATCTTTCTGCAGATGAGGGACTAGAGGTCCTGAGAGGCCAAGTGACCACTGAAGGATGCGTGGCCAGTAAGTGGGGAGAGGTGACCCTGAGATCTGAAATTAGTCCATCTCCTCCCAGAACCATGACCTTAAAACCTGGCTCTAGAGTCCCCACAACTGGCAGAGGATGCGTGCACTCCCAGAAGGAGGAGGAGCGCAGGGGACAGGGATGGACAGAGTGTCCCCTCTTCCCAGAGAAGCAGGGACAGGAGGGTTTGGGGGCCTGGAGTGGAGCAGCTGAAAAGCAGACAACTCCAGGCCTGGGAAGGGGCTTGAGGTCTCTAGGGTGGGCCCTAAGCTATACCTGGATCAGAAACCCCAACCTGTGCCAGCCATGCAGACGGGGGTCTGGGGGCGAGCCACCTCTCTAGCTGAGGGTCCCAACCAGGGTCCTCAGGAAAGGCCTCCCAGGAGCCCCTGGCCACCCCACCTCCCTCACCTGACCAGCCTGGGGGGCAGCGGCACTTGTACTCCGTGAGTGTGAGAAGGTCGCAGGTGCCCCCATTGCGGCAGGGGTTGGTGAGGCAGGCATTGTCGAGGGGCGTCAGGCAGAGGGGCCCAGAGAAGCCCAGGGGGCAGACACAGGTGTAGTCCACCAAGCCGCCGCGGTCCACCACGTGGCATGTGCCGGCATTCCTGCATGGGGTGCTGAGGCACGGGTTGGGGGCCTGGCATCGCTGGCCCACAAAGGCCTCACTGCAGCTGTTGGCAGACATGCCAGGGCCGTTAGTTCTCAGCAGCAGTTTTCCCTATCACCCCCACCACGCAGCACTGGGCACCTGTCACGCCACAGCTGTCCCCCACCCCCGCACACAGCTGAGCACAGGTTCCCAAGGGGTGATGGAATGCTCCGAAACTAGACAGAGGTGGTGGCTGCACACCACTGCAGATGCACCAAACGCTCAGGAATTGCTCACTTTAAAGCAGTTAATTTCATGTTTTGTTTTGTTTTTTTTTTTAAAGATGACCGGTAAGGGGATCTTAACCCTTGACTTGGTGTTGTCAGCACCACAGTCACCCAGTGAGCCAACCGGCCATCCCTATATGGGATCCGAACCCGTGGCCTTGGTGTTATCAGCACCACACTCTCCCGAGTGAGCCACGGGCTGGCCCCAGTTAATTTCATGTTAATTGAATTCCACTCCAATTTGAAAAAAAAGAAAAGAGAAATTATTGTTAATTAAGGGAACAGGCAAGAGACTAGAAGGTTCAAGCAAGACCCAGCTTGGATTTCAAAACCTAGGCAGGTGTCTGAGTCTGCACCTGCAGAGAGCCACAGAGAAGGCCACACAGGCCAGTCAGAGCCACTGGGTGTGGGGGTGGGGGCAATAAGCCCCATAAAGTCTCTCGTTTTGGAGTCCTGTCTGCTTTATTTCTCTGGCTTTTATGGTTTTCTCAACTTTCAAACATCAGTTCTGCAGCAAATGTGGAAAGGACGGATTGGCTCTCCATCTTTCCTGTGCAGAAGGCTTGCCGTCAGGGAGCCTGACACTGTGGGGACCAGCCCCTTCCCTGCCCACCCTTAGTCCCCAGAAGTGGCTTTTCCCTTTTGGTATCGAGTCTTTACGACACACATCCAGGCAGCACTGGCCGGGAGCCGGAACATCGATTCCACAGCCGTGGAAACCAAAGTGCCACAGGAACACCCTTTGCCAGCTCTGTGCGCGGGTCCAGTGGGTCCCTCCCATGGAACACACGGTCCAGGCCCCGACAGAAGATGAGCCAGGGGAGATGCCTGTGCCCCTACACCAGGCCTGATCTCACCTGTTCCAGCACGGACAGGTGTAGCACCCGCCCCCACTGCCCCGCCCCAGAAACTGCTGCAGCCACCTGTTGGCTTGGCTTCTAGACACTGGGCCATAAATCGCCCACCCTGGTCACCCTGTGGCCTCACTCCAGGGGAAGGCTCTGGGACCAACCAGGCATTGCTCTTCCCAGTGGTGAAGCCTCTGAAGCAGAACATGCCCCTGGCCCGGCCCTGGCCCCCAGAGGCCTGGGAAGGCAGCCCCCACGCTGGGCCCACAGCTCTGGGTGGGCGTAGCCTCCTCCCACCTGGAGAGGGGGAGTGGGGGGGGCGGGGCAGCTAAAAGCCTGGTATCCTCAGCATGGAGAGGGGCTCTCCTGCATACAGAACCATCCAACCTTCCAGAGCCCGCCACGGGTGGGGGACAGTCCCCAGTTTCCTGCCTCAGGATCAGCACCCAAAGCTGTGGCCACAACCTTCATACACAGATCCCCACCCCCTGACAGACACCTGCTTGCTGGTCCTCACTTCCTCCTCTCCTGCAGGCCAGTTTATTCCCACCCCAGTGGCTAAAACCAAACCCACACGTGAGGGTGGCCCCCGAGAGGCTTTGCCCTAGAGGGGCCAGAGGAGGCAGTTTGGGGGCAGGGGTCTGCGCGTTTCTCACCAGCTGGGCTGTTCCCCTGATGCAGAACCCGGGAGGCATCTGTCTTCCCTGAAGGCTTTTATCTGTGGCCACGGCTTGGGTAGAGAGGACGCAAAATGGCCACTCGGCTGACCATCTGTTGCCAGAAGCCAAAAGTCCCAAACCAACTGGTTTAGAGAAAACAAGTCCCCCCACCCGGGGGGGGGGGGGGCTCTGGGGACTTAAGGCAGGCCTTAGCTCTGGCTCCGCCCAGCCCCTGGGAAGGAGTGGGAGGGGCAGCCCTACAGTGAGGCGCCCCCAGTGGCCACTGGTCTAAGGCAGGCCTTAGCTCTGGCTCCGCCCAGCCCCTGGGAAGGAGTGGGAGGGGCAGCCCTACAGTGAGGCGCCCCCAGTGGCCACTGGTCTGCAGCTTCAGCGTCCACCCGCCTCTGGGGCACCTTGGGTCCTTCGGCCACGCACAGGGAGCTTGGGGAAGGGGCACGGCCCCCATGCACGTGTGGGTCCGGCTACCGGCTGGGCCAGTCCTCGCAGCCTAAGTGGCCACCCGGAACCCGCAGAACCCGCAGGCCAGGTCTGGCTGCCTCCTTCCTCATCAATGCCCCATTGTTAGGCGGAATTGGCCACGGCTTCCCCTGGGAGAAAAGGCTCTTTTTTCTTTTCCAGCCACTGACAACGTTGGCAGAGGGTGGGTGCGGACAGAGGGCTCTTGGTCATCAAAGCTGGGTCTGGAGCCAGCCCATCCATACCTCTCGGCACACACTCTGGGCCATCCCAGCCCCTTGGCCCAGGCAGCGTGAGCCTCCGGGGGAGGGAAGCCTACCTCACAGCTTTATCCATACCTCTCGGCACACACTCTGGGCCCTCCCAGCCCCTTGGCCCAGGCAGCGTGAGCCTCCGGGGGAGGGAAGCCTACCTCACAGCTTTGGGGAAACCCACACATGCAGCCCAGTGACACCCTTCTCATGGGTCAGGCCTCCATGGCTGGTCCCAGAGGTCCCAGCCCCTACTAGAACAATCCACATTGGGTGTCCCCAAATGAACCAAAAGGCCCTGCCCAGCCACGTACCCCACATGCTCCAGCCAAGGGGCAGGTCCTCAGGGGACACCTGCTCCCACACCCCGCCCTGAATGCAGACTCCAGTGTGGGGGGCTATGGGAGGGACCGGACACATGCAGTTAACGAGGCTGTGCTGTGCTGGGCCAGCAAGGGGAAAACACACCCAATAAATCAGGAGTCGGCAGCGTGGACAAAGGGCGGCCGGGGAGCAGGTGCGCCTGTCGATGGGACGCGGGCAGCAGCTGCTCTTGGCGGGCGCGGCTGGTTGCCAACCCCAGTGGGTGGGGCAGGAGCCGGGCAGCCGGCAGCCCAAGGAGGCTCCTCCGTGGGGGAATGTGGCAGCTGAGAAGGCCCATTGTCCTCCCCACTCCCACCCTGGACTCTGGGACACCACAGCAAAGGCATGCCACCCACAGGCCTGCCACAGGCACGGACACTGTCCACCCCTGGCGCCCACAGCCAGAAGATGGGCAGGGCCACAGGGAGGGGCCCTTGGACGGGCTCCGCGGGGGACATGCTGGGTGTGGGTGAACCGAGCCAACTCTGGGCCAGAAGTGGAGAGGTCTGGGTGTGTGGAGTGCAGCCTGGGCCCAGTCCCAAAGGCCATTCCTCCTCCATGCCTGTGGCAGCCTCCAGCCCATGCCCACCTGTCTGTGCCTCTCTCCCACCCAGCCACAGAGCTGAAGCTGCCCAAGGACAGACCTGCCCAGTGCCCAGATGTCTCTGAGAAGGTGGGAGTGCAGCTCAGACGCAGCCAGGGCCACCTCACTGCCTGGGCAGTGGCCACATCCCCAGCACCAGTGGCCATGCTATCCACAACACCTGTCCCGGCAGGTGGTGCGAGCAACGGGACTGGTGTGGGACTTAGCTGAGGGAAGTCTCATCCAACAGCTGCCCGGCCTTGGGGACCCCGCAGAGTGACCCACACAACAGCCCTGCCACCCCAGGTCTCCTCTTATCAGGGCCGGCGGGAAGACCCTTCCAGGGCTGAAAGGTGGGACCCCTTCCAAGCAGGGTGTTGAGCCTCCCTCGACCGGACAAGAGCTGGCCCTGTCCACACACTGCCTGGCTAGAGCGGCCCCTCCTGCGGCGAGAACCAGCCCCCATCGGGTGTGCCTGGACCCTGCTCCTTTCCCACCTTCCTCCTAAGGCCACCTGGCATCAGCTCATCCACTCCGCCCCCCCCCCCCCCCGG